TCGTTGTCTTTGACGAGTGTCGTAATCATGTTCGACAGGGTGGAGTTTTATTTTCTTAGAATGTGAATCATTTAAGATTTTTTAGCAGTATAGCTGCCGAATATCCAATATTTTACTATCTTTGTATAATTCATCGCTAGACGAAGTTCTCTTTTTTCGGTATATTAGTCTCAATATCCATTTTTGTAATACATTTACCTTATTCAAATGGATGTCATTTACTCCCCCCCCATCCTATGATCCCATAGGTAAGTTGTGTTTGAATAAGGGAGTAGTATACAGATTTCAAGTGCTCTATGTCTAGAAATTCTCTGAGGAGTTTGAATCTACAGAGAAATCCTCAAATTCTTTCCCCAAATTGGGCATTTGTAAGTCCCATCGCAAATGTCTATCAATAATAATCCCCAGATATTTGACAGATTCTGCTTCTGGTATTGATGTATTTTGATCAATTTTCAAATTTCCCAATTGTGGTAAGTTGCTAACATATGATGTGAACGGAAGATATTGAGTTTTTTCTATATTCAGAGTCAATTTGTTTAGTTGAAACCAGGATTTAATTGTTTTGAAATCTAATTCTACTTCTTGTTTCAACGCCATCCATGTATCTGATTGATAGAATATTGCGGTGTCATCCGCAAAGCTTAGAGTAGCTCCCTTCAGGTTCATGGTTAGTAAGCTATTTATATATATAGTGAACAGAACTGGTCCAAGAACTGTTCCTTGAGGTACTCCGTAAGATACTTTCCTCGGTTGACTGATGACACCGTCTATATCGACGTGTTGTTGACGATCCGACAGGTAGTTTTCTAAAAGTTGATATGTTTGTCCTCTTATACCATATATCTTAAATTTTTTCAACAAGGTTTCATGGCAAACCGTATCGAAAGCTTTAGAGAGGTCGATGAAAACACATAATGCGGGTTTATTGGAGTCAATTGCGTTATATATCAATTTTGTCAGAGATCTAATTGCATCGTCGGTTGACCTTCCCTCCCTAAAGCCATACTGATTTTCAGAAAAAACCTGATGCTTATCGAAAAACTTGACTAGTCGGATTTTAATGATTTTTCCAAATACCTTGGCAAGAGTTGAAATTAAAGATATTGGTCGATAGTTTCCTACTCTGGTTTTTTCTCCACTTTTGAAAAGAGGTTTGATCAACCCTATCTTCATGGATTTCGGAAAATATCCATGTTCAATGCACTTATTGATTATATAACATAGCGGCGGAGCAATGAATTCTGATATTGGTTTGAGGGTATCTGCCCTGATTTTGTCTATTCCAGGTGCTTTATTGCATTTTAGATTATTTATAGTAGAAGTTACTTCAACGTCAGTAGTTGGAAATGAATATATCGTGTTTTCCAGCGTGGGAATATTTTCAGTAAAACCGATTGGTGTATCAATGTTATCAGCGAGTTTTTTTCCCAAGTCACTGAAATATTTGTTGAATTCTTCAGCTATTTGGTTTTTGTCAGTAATTGTGTTGGTTTCTGTTTGTATCATTTTTATTTTCGTTTCGGTTTTTGACTTGTTACAAATCTTATTCACGCATTTCCATAAACTTTTCGCTGAGTTTTTATTACTATCTACAGTTTTCCTGAAATAATCTCTTTTCGACTTCTGGATAAGATGATTTAATCTATTTTTATAGTTTTTATATTCATTAATCAAAATATTGTTGGGTTCTCTTTGAATTCTTGAATATAACTCATATTTTCTATTTACGGACTTCAAAAGTCCTGACGTGATCCAAGGTTTTTTGCTCCTGTATTTATTCGATGTTTCAATTCTTTTTGTGTTATTATCGATGTGATAGTTCAGTCTGTTAATGAATGTTTCCATCATTTGATCAATATCGTTCAGCGTGTTGACATTTTCCCAGGTTTCACTGCTGATATCATTTTTCAAATTTATATAATCAATGATGGTCCTATAATTCTTATGTGATGTATGAAATAAAATCTGAAGAATTCAGCACATTTTTATACTCTTCTGAATATTCGCTATCATCGAGTAAGTTGATATTAATATCACCAGTGATGATGTGGTTATTGAATTTCGAGTTTTCTAGGTACGTCAGTAAATCTGTATTGAACAATTTCGGGCAGGTAGGTACTGGGTGATCTATATATATATATAGAAACATAAATTAGAAATATATGAGTAGTTGGTAACAATGAAATAGTTATTTACCTATAAGAAGTGCGGAAATTAGTACTTTTCCGTACGCGATGGCAGTTGCACAAACGACGCAGTGCGTCAAGGGTGGAAAATAAATTTTCCGCGAGAGTTAGGTACAATGTTTTTTCTACGGGTGATTTTGTCCATATTTTCAATGAAAATGACACATAAGATAGAATAGTAACATAGATCATTTATAGTTAGTCCTGAATATCCTCATTTTTAACAATACAAAAATCAAGCGGAAAACTAACTTTTCAGCACCATAGTGTAAAGTGACTTTCCCGCACGCTCGTAGGAGAACATATTTGACGTTGATTCTCTAATTTGACAGATGATAGGAAAAATATTGTGTCTGACTGTTAACGCCTCATATATTTCAAGTTATTTTCCTTCTTTTATTTTCCTTGTTGAATTGAGTATTAAAACAGTATTAATTTAGAATAGAAAATACTGAGAATAATCTCATTCTTTTCTCATACATTTAAAAGGATTGTGCTCCTAATCTCGTGCGTCTAGTTTATATCTTTGCAAATGCTCAGTCAAAATCTCGGCAGAATGCGACACCTATCGAGAAGATATTCGGAAAGGTGAAAGGAGATAGAAAAAGACGCGAGTTGAGTTGTCACGAAGAAGGAAGACACGTCACTTCCTCGAGTTTGGTTTACCGGTAAACATAGTGATCTCGCTCATACTCGAACCTCGTGAAAAGTTCTATACTGTGATATGTACCTCGGGAACCAGCATCTCGACTCCAGGGCAAGGTGGTTGCTATACTTCCGGAGCAAATGGTATTCAACTCCGGAAGTAGATAAGCCAGGTAGGCCCATTTAGCCGTTTGTTTGACATGAGCAATTTCACCTAATTCCAATCGTATGTTAAATATTTTTGGTCCTTCGTGCCGGATCCCGTAATAAATAGTAGTTCATTCTCAGTATGGTGAAGGTGAAAAATTAATAATGAATGTTTATTAATTTTCTATTCATGGAATTGCCGGTTCTCAAATAATTACTCTTGATACGATCAGTCGCTCTCTGTAATTTGATTTTTTTTTCGTTGAAGGACGGAAAAGCATTTTTTCTGACAAAAACCAAAATCCTATACTTTGATATAGAACTCACGATCCATTAATCAGATCCAATACCGAATTTCGCTTATTTCACTCAGGTAATTATGCTCAAAATATAAAATGCTCCTTATGTAAACATTCTCATACCATTTAAAGGTGTCCTGTTTTTGCGACAAAATCTCCCAGAGAAAAATATGAAATTGTAAAAAAAATAATTGGTGTGCCAATTGCTTAGGTACTCGACATACTTCAAGAACTTGTACTTCGCAGTCGTTCTGTAAAGTGTGCAACGGCTCATCTCACCACACTCCCTCATTTCGATAACAAGGTCTCCTCATCTCAGTCTACCCTACATTTTGATAATCCCAGATCCATCACCTCTCCAGAGGCTCCGTCTTCCGAACCCACATTCTCTCAAGTCAATTCTATGACAAATCGACTATCCTCTCATTCTACGGTCCTCCTGTCTACTGTCCCAGTAAAATTTCTTGACTCGCGTAATAATAATCAAAAAGTTAGGGTGCTGTTAGACTCTGCCAGTCAAGCAAGCATTTAGGATTGCCTTGGCAATCAATGGTCTTGGACATAGGTCTTCCGCCTCCTCTATTGGTCTCACATGTACTCTACAACCTCTTAGAAGCTCTTCTCCTTTATTAACCGTTGTTGCAGTATAACTGAATATTTGTTCAGATATTGCTGCCATAAAATTTTCTCATGAAAAAAAAATGGGCATATTTGGGAAACATTGTGTTGACTGACCCTCAATCTAATGTTACTGCAAAACTCATCTCCCCATCAAAACTATCCTCTCTCGATGCGAAACTATCTCGAAAGCAACTACATGGAAGCCGTTCCTTCCCCTTTCTCTTACACTAATACCTTTTATATACTCCATATTTACCCCATCATGGTGTTCTCAATCCCAATAGCACCACTACAAGATTGAGAGAGGTGTTCGATGCTTCAGCCAAATCTCCATTGGGTTTTTTCATTAAATTATAGTTTGATGGTGGGAAATAAATTACAAAGAGATATTGTCGGCCTCTTACTCTTATGTCTTCACTGCCGCCATCAAGCAGATGTAGGTATCGGCAAATGTTGATGAATGAAGACCACCGTAACTATCAGCGGATTTTGTGGAGGTTCTCTCCTACCGACGCAGTTCAAGATTACCGCTTGAACACTGTCAGCTTTGGAGTCAGCTCAGCCCCATTTATTGCCATCCGAACGTTGCTCAAGACGAGCAAAAATCATTTCCTTTAGCTGCTCAGGCGTCAACATCTGACACATATGTTGATGATGTCATAACTAGCGCTTAAGATCTCGAGACTGATTATTATATCAATCGAAAATTAACAACTGAACAATTGATTCAACTCCTCGTTAAAAACCTATTCTGTATACAGGGTAAACTGATTTACAGGATGTAAAATATACTATTCAACATATTTCATTATCTTTTTCACAAAAATAACAGATCAAGAACCCAATACCCCCACAGCTCAAAGCACGGCACACAAACTGAGAATCTTCACGATTATGATTTAGCAGTTAGTCAGGAAGGCACTTGCATGACTTAGAATTTCAATTGTATCCGAGCGTTTTTCAGGATTATCATTTTGAAGCCTTGAAATCAGGGTGTAAAGTTCTCGTTGGACCACCCTGTATGTGACCACGTGCTGTCTCAAAGTTAACCTGGTTGGCATGTACCATATTTTTAATTCGATTTACTGAAAAATTCTAGGTGAATGGTGCAATAGATCTATATACTGATGACTATTCAGCTCTCATCAGTAACGATTCGAGATATATGAAAGCTACTGCTATGGAAGAAGTTAAGGAATATATGTTCTTCATGGATGTGAATTTGTGTGAAGGCAAAATGATCGCCGACGCAGTTTGGCATCCGATGTGGTCTGGAACAGTTGCCATAGCGTACGCTGACGTAGCTCCGAATATCTACAATTTCGGACAAAACACAGAAGATACTGTAAGAATAATGAGTCAATGATTGATTGAATATACATCACAAATATTTTTCTATCTATACTCACTGAATCGAAAGTAGACGTTGCTTCCTCCATTTCAGGATACAAACGCATAATTTCTGATCACCTTGGATACATACCAAGGTGATCAGAAATTATGCGTTCAAAAAGTAAGTGTTCATAGATGGAATCATATGGATGGTAATTCCTCTAGTTTCGAGAGTGAGAGTGTTCCTGCAATATACACCGTGTCCCAGCTAAAATGTCCCCCCCCCCCCTGTAAAAAATCAACCGCGCGATCGAATGACTTGACATTTGGTCACCCAGTTTATGTGATGATGCTCACTCGAAATATGCTATTGAATAAATCGTATAGGTATACAGGGTCACACCGAAGTGCACCTCAACTTTCTTATTTGAATAGGGACACCCAGTATATTATTCCATATTCAAGTAGAGTTCATTATTACAAATTCAACAATGTTTGATGGAATTTTTTCAAACGACTACGAAGATATAGCAAAAAATGAATCGATTCAATAAAGAATTCATATGATTAGATTTTCTTAATATTACCCGTTTATAATCGAATCATAAGTGTCCTGCACATAACTGCACACCCGTGAAGGATTATCTCCGTCATCGGTTTGGAGAAAATCTAATAGTCACAAATTTTCTCGATGGTGATAGCAACTGGCCAGCTCGGTCGCCAGACCTCACCTCACTTGATTTTTACAAGTGGGGCTACTCGAAACAACAGGTTTATGAGTCGCCAATTGTGAATATAGAAGAAATGAAAGAGAAAATCACAAAATGCGCACAAATAAATCGAAACGTGTCCCTATTCAAATAGAAAAGTTTAGGTGCACTTCGGTGTGACCCTGTATCAATAAACAATAAACAATAATAGGGTCACAATGAACGTATCCAAAAGAGCTAGGAAAAGTTTGCAGCAGAATGGACGACATATTAAGCAGTTGAGGTTGTAATTTTTTTTTCATTCGATTTCAATCGTGTTATATTAACAAAATCTAATCATATAATTTTTTTATTGAATCGTTCTATTTTTTGCCATATCTTCGTAGTCGTTTGAAAAAAATCCAATCAAACCCGGCATTGTTGAATTTGTGATAATGAACTTTACTTCAATATGGAATAATATAATGGGTGCCCCTATTCAAATAGAAAAGTTTAGGTGCACTTCGGTGTGACCCTGTATACCGACAATTTATTCAATAGCATAATTCGAGTTAGCAACATCAAATATACTGGGTGATCAAATTTCAAGTCATTCGATCGCGCGATTGACTTTTTACATGGGGGGACATTTTAGCTGAGACACGGAGTATAATGTGCCCGTCTGAAGTCCGTTCCCTCTCTTGTAATTTTTTAACCACTTGGTATATCGCAACGAAATTCAGAGAGCCGAAATAGGAGATGAAAATCTACTTTTTCATGAAAAAATGACATCAGAAAATTAGAAAATGGCGGTTAGGTGCCATCTTGAATAAATTTTTTCAATGGATACCCCCTTCCCCCGTTTATTATTCCATTTTCGAAATATTTTCATAATTCTCAATATTTTGATCCCATACACTTTCCTCGTGCATTCAATAGTTTTCGAAATATCAACGTTTAAACAGTGACTTTTCGGTCATTTTGAACTAAACCAAACACTCGAATGATACTTTCAATGTAGTTTGCTCTAGAAAAAATCAAGGTGTCACCGTGACAGCAACAAAATTCAGTACCCAATCATCAAATATATAGATTTATTTCTTCAGGTACTGAAAGCTGTTCACGGAATCAACCCTGTACTTATCTGGAGCTGTCTAGATGGGCTCAAACCAAAATTGATTCTTGAAGCCCCAAGAGAGGTACATAAATTATCATTCTGTAAGTTCGATGAGAATATCCTGATCGGTGGATGTAAAAACGGACAAATTGTGAGTACAAATACATCTGGTATCATACACAAAGTGGACCAGAAACATATTCGACCAATTTCAATACTCGAATCACTATTCTCAGTGTAGCTATGAATGATGAGTTTTTCTGATTTCAACATATGATTAAACATATTTCAGGATCAAAAAACAAGTTCCTTTGATAATATACTCTCGAACTGTATACTTTCTCTCAACTAAAGACCACTCATCAATGCAGCTATTATATCAACAAACAGCAAATCAACGACCTAACACAACTACCCAATCCAACTCGACTAATCAACGATCCAATACACACAATACAAGACACCCATCGGACGTCTATTTCAGGTTTATTTCGGGCCCAAAAGTCCATGGACTGACTTCGAATGTATTCTCATTAGATGTTCGTCCACTGGACGTCCATTCATTGTCCGAACATTGATCCCCCTTGTATCTCATTCAACCTTCAATTTATCGAAAAATTAAAAACTGTCTTCTACTAATTTTTTCACGTAGGCCAATGGCGCAGTCAGATTTTCAGAATAAGCTGTTATTATTCAGATATAACCCTTTTTTTTTCAATGGAACTCCCTGTATATCTGTTCATATTTGGAAACTTGATGCTCTGTGCTTTCTAGAAATGTAAAACACTCATGAGAAATCTGAAGATTCGGCTATAAATTCAGATAATTTCTAGTTTTTCAGTAGATATTTCATCGATGGGCCTTGAAAATATGTGGCAACATTGTCCATATCTAGAATTTTCATATTCACCTTGTTGCTGATACAGTGTTCCATAACACTATATTTTTAATTTTTTCAACATTCAACATTCACCAATATTCAGCACTATTTATTGACTATAAGCTCAGTGGACCTAATTAGAAGGTGGCTATGAAAAAAAAGCGAGTGCAGAATGTATCATAATATTTGTCACTTAACTTTCGAATTCTCAAAATATCCATGCATCGATAGATGATAATCCAAGATATCAAAACTACTAAATTTCAGAAACCAACTTATATACCACCCATTTCTAGAAGTTTTCATATCCGGGATTAGTATTCACCATCACCGTATTGGATAGGTAGGTGACAAGGATTAAAACACATTTTAAACACTCGCTTTTTTTTATCGCCACCTTCTGATGAGGTCCACAGCTTTTATAGTCAATAAAGAGTGCTGCATATTTGTGAATGTTGCATGTTGTTAAAATTGAAACTAGTGTGTGATAAAAAAATGTGTCAGCAATGGATTAAATATGAAAAATTGTGATATGGATATTGTCGATGAAAATTCCACTGAAAAAACTAGAAACTATCTAATTTCATGGGTATTACTCACAATATCATATGAGTGTAATATATTTTTGGAAAGCGCAAAGCACGATTGTTTCATATATGAAAAAGTATACAGGGTATTCTATTCAAAAAAAAAACTTTGGGTTATATCTGCATAATATAACTATCAGCAATAACCTTTCTTGGGAAAATCACGTGAGATCAATTCCTAAAAGTGCATCCCAAACACTTGGTTTTCTGTTTCGGGCCAGGAGCTATTCCACTTTCAGTCAGCTGCTTATGATCTATAAGGCACAGATCTGACCTGTCCCATATTTGGAGTGCAGCACTCAAACATACCCTGAAACTGTTGGATTCTATCCAAAGAAGGGCAATTCGTCTCGTTGGTGATGCCTGGCTCACAAACTCACTCACTTATCTGGAACACCGTAGTAAAGTTGACGATCTTGCTCTATTTCATAGATATTTTCATGGACGATTCTCTTCTGAAGTATCAACAATTGTTCTTCCCTTGGCAGTACCCACGAGATTAACCCGTAGAGTTGAGGCTTCGCACCCCTTCGTGGTCACTTTAGAGACCTGCAGAACATCTACTTCCAAAGACTCGTTCATCCAACGAACAGCGATGCTATAAAACACATTGCCAAGGGAAGTGTTCCCGTGGCATATAACCTCTAGAAATTTAAGAAAAATACCAATTCCTACCTTATATTCCTTGGTTCTCACGATGTTGTATCGTAAATGGGCGTCGAATCAACATATAAAGGTTTTAATTCATTCGTGATGAGGGCTTGAATAATATGAGAATAAGCAATGCATTCTGAATGGAATTATTTATTCATATATCGGAGTTAAGCTGAACAGGACTCGGATTATTTCTGATTCTTCACTGCGCCTTGACTACGGAATACTAATATTGACAAACAATGTACGTCAGAATAAACATCATATATTTGTCAAACAATTGGCATCCTTAGAACATCAGAAAATAAACATCCATTGTTCAATCAAAGTGATGTCCTCAGGAAAACCAATGGGTATTTAAAGTCCAATCGTGTACATTCGACAGACGTCCTGAACATCTAAGATGGATGTACACTCGTCTTTAGAGATCATGTCGCACATGGACGGTGTCAGCTCCCTTGATCACCGCTGCAATAAGAGCGCTCATACCGTCCAACCGTGACATGTTCGCTGAAGACGAGTGTACATACATCGGATATCGGAGTGTGAAATGGGTTACCTACTTATTATAACCCTTCTGTTGATATGTGCTTGGGAGATCATGTTATGATTTCGCGACTTGGGAGGATGATACTGTTTAAGGGGTAACCATGTTATGCACCTTGTACTCTTGTAGTTTTTCCGGAACCTCCTATAAATTAAGACCAGTTTTGTGACTCAATGATTTCTTCTTTCTTTTACTACTATTACTACTACTACTACTACTACTACCACCATCACACTTTGAGCATTATTGACGACTGCGTACCCACGATTAACTTTCTATTTCCTTATTTTGTGGAGTAGGTAGTAGCAGCGTTCTGAGTATTCTTGCTGTAACCTATAAGAAAGTCCTATAATCCGAAAATCTTCTTGAATCAGGACTAATTTGTAGTTCATTTGTTAATGCTCATGTCTTTTATTTCATTATATCTTTCAAACTGTGTTAGTTAACAGTTTTCCATTTTTTGAATCTCTCTTTCTGTCCTAATAGCTCTTACAGCTTTCGAGATATTCAGATCAAATTTGAAACAAAAGTTTCAGGACATACATAATACAGTATACTGTGTGATTGGAAGAATCTACAGGGAGATAATTTTCCAGGGATAAAACCTTTTTTTGTACCATAAACTTTATGTGATGCGCCAGTGGTAGATTTCGAAATATAAACCCGTTAATAGCATGGTGCTGACGATTTGTTTAGGCAATTCCCCTCCATATACCATTTTGATATTTGAAATCAATGCATTTGAACCGAGTTGAAATTGGTCGAAAACTATGTACATACATAGAAATTCGAAATACAATCACTCTAATCAACAGATCATCTGGGACATTTGAAATTCAAAATACATTCACTCTAATCAACAGATCATTTGGGACATTCGGAACAAACTCCACAAAGTAGAGGAATTAGAGATACTCACCACGGCTCAGCAGAAGTATAGAGTTTACATGCATTCTCTAATGAAGTGGATGAGGAACATTCATGATGTATCAGTTGTGAGACCAACAGCTATATCAGACTTAGGATACTCACATAAAGGTCCAGTTACTGGTAAGTGATGTGTACTTTGTGCAATACGATTGAAACAGTATAGAATATCATGAATACACCGATATATGGTTGAATTTTTGTAGTTATTTGTTTTTTCGCTCTCTTAACGCTTGAAGCGCAAGTTACATCTTGAAGACACAAGATAGGACACCGCCGTAAGAATGCCAGTTCAATCGGGTTTATTTTGTACAATGCAGTCTGACTTTCGATCCATCAACTTCAACCTATGTTATAATCCGTGATCGGTTATGTAATAGATGTCTTTGAACACGTTTTTTTCCGAAATACATATTTAACTCGCACGAAAGGGAATATCCCCATAGTGTTCGAAGAACATCGTGCGTGCAGGACAGGGCGAGGATGTAGGTATTGGAGTTTCTCTTGAACTTTTGAAGATGATAGATTATTGGAAATACTTGCTCAGGTAATGAATTCCAGAGCTTTGCCGTTATATAGACGAACGAGTTTTGATAAAGAGCTGTTCGCCATATTTCGAAGTTGGCAACGAAAGGATATGCTGATTGGGCTCGTCGAGTTCGTCTAACGGAGAGGTATTGTTAGTGATGGAATGATAGAAGAGATTTCCGAAAAATATTTTCCGTAGAAAAGGGAAAGGTCGCTGACTCTTCTACGGTGTTCCAATGATGTTGAAGAGTTAGTGAGTGTGGCTGGAATCATCCACCAGCTGAGAGGCTCTTTTCTGAATGGAATCTAATCGCATCAGCTTATGTTTGGATGCTGAACCCCATATGTAGGGACATTACTCTAGAACAGGTCATATCCATGCTCTGTAGATCATGAGAAGCTGTGGAGGTGTGAAGTAGCCTTTCGCACGGAACAAAAATCCGAGTTTATGTGATGGACCTGACATGATGAAAGTGTATTATTGCTGATGGAAATACCGAGGATAGATATAGTGGACTTGGTGGGAATGGTAGTACCAGTAATTTTTATATAAGGCATACAGAGAAAAAACAGGCTCAAGTTTTAGTGGCATTGAATTTAACTAGGTTGTTGGTTCCCCAGGCTGTCTTAGCAAGATCTCAATTGACAGCATTGACCAGCATTGACCAGCATTTGCCATGAGTAGTTTCAATAGTTTCTCATTAAAATCTGTGGTGAATACATATTTCAATCAGTATCATTTCAACGCAATCATACAAACCATAATTTCAGCATTCAGAAGAATCAATTTTTTATTGTCCCCTCATCGCACAGAATACAAAAACAGAACTATGATACATTCATTCATTTTGAAGCACCTCAGAACATGGGTAAAAGGTAAATTAGACGAATCAAACAAGTGAAGAGGATGAACATTAGTGTGGCAACTACGACCAGCATACGTCTCCATGTCTGAGCACTCTACATACGTTCACCTTCCCGCATATCAACAAACTCGAGCTCTTCAGGAAATTCGATGCCTTTACAATTTGTATATGATGTTTTATCTCAAGTAATATACAGATTATGAATTATCTACGAACAACTCACCTAAAACGCGACTTTTTGCAAAGTACTTGAGTTGATCAATTGTCAACTTGCTCTAGCTCCTCACTTGATAGTCCTTCATCCAGAAGCGAGAATAATGTATGTAATGTACTAGTCCGCCAATGTCTGACTCATCTAGAATAGGTCTACATGCGATTGCTATGGTGTGATACTTAACGGTCAAGAGAATCCTAGGTCGCACCAGAAGTCTGGGGCTATAGATGACCATTATTAGATGAGGAAGATCTCTACAATCTACAATCTATTCGTCGTTACATCGTCGTTTGGAAAGAGGCTGGTACCCTGAAGGATCCAGTTCTGTAGATAGTGATGGTGCAGGTGAAGCATATGATGCTAACGAATAACATGCAGCAAGTTTGAAAAACATTATTCTACCTAGTTGAAGTAAATATTCCTAAATACTGTGACAATCCAAGAATCGGAATACACGCTGATAAAAGTAATAACTTTCTTGGCCAGGACTCCTCCACATCAGGCAGTTTAGTTTGTTCCTAGTAGAAATGCATAGATTTTCATTCATCTACGAGGAACGACGAACAGAACTATTTTTTGCAAAATTCGCAAATTTGGTCAATTTTCAACTTGCTCTAGTTCATCACCTGTTGGTCCTACATTTATGAGTAAGAACAATTATATATAGTGAATTTGATCTACTTGGACTTTCTATAGGGTGATCTTTCCGCTCAAATGTATAGTTTCCCAGCCACGGGCAAAAAAATTGAAAAGAGTGCGATAAGGTCGCTGTTTTTTGCGAATATCTCGGAACGCTCCAGGAAATTTTGTTTGCAAACTTGAGATTTCGACTCAGCACCCCCAAAAATATATGATACCGCAGAGAAACTGCGACTACTTGAACTTTCTCCACTAGAGGATCTTTATCGTTACCGTTTTACTGAGCTAAACAGGTAAAAGCCAACGTGAGTTAGCATTCCATAACAGATAATTACCATTTCGTGAAAAAGCATAATTCCAACTCACTACAGTTTCACCGATTGGGGTTTCCAAATCATGATTTGGAAGCCCAACACGTAAAAGGCCCTATGTGATTTTGGACTCGGCATTTCATAACAGACAGATGTATACAATACTAACTAACATGAGGGTTTACATGTTAACATCTTGTAAAAAAGCATAATTCGAACTCGCATAGGGTCCTACCTGCTGGATTTTCAAATCATGATTTGAAGGTCCTATATGATCTGAATCTCTCATCGCTCTTCTACTGCGGATGTGATATCTACCGTACCGTATTTTCAAATGGAATGTACTGTACATTATTCTATGACTGGGTAAGGGATTCTCATTATATCATCCTGAATCAATTCAAGCAATAATATTCAAGAGTCTCTAGAAGGAACAACATTATATGTATTATGTATATGATTCAAAAATTATTATCTGAGTGTCTAATTTCTGTTTTTTTAGTTGCTCTTTCATAATTTTCCCTGCTGTAAACATATATGTTTCTTGGGAATGTAGTAGTAGAAGTAGATAGATAATAATAAATTATACGAATAGTATAATATTTTGCCCTATACACAACCAGTAAACGTATTTCGGCAACTTACTTGGCCTAATCCCAACTCACTACGGTTTCACCGACTGGGATATCCAAATCATGATTTGGGAGACCAACACGTAAGGCCCTATGTGATTCTGGACTCAGCATTTCATAACGGACCGATAGATGTATACAATACTAAAGTCGTGGCAATACACAAAGTCAAAATCTGTTTCTCTTTATTTTTCGCAAGCTGGATGAGACAGAAAATCACTAGAAAAAGGAACATCCGAACTTGATTCATATATTTTATTGATCATTGAATTGTCACTGTGACTTAATGTCAAATATTTAGAGTACTGTTATACATCAATTGATCATTCCAGAATCACGTCATTCGACAGGTCGGCCATGTTTGCTGAGGGGCAAACAAACCTTAGTTGTCATCAGTTGTCATATAACTCATGTGAACTATTGTGAACAGTCAGCAGTAAATCCGTATTTGATTTGAGATTATTTGAAAATGCCATCGTTTTGTTCAGTCATTAACTGTTCTATGAGAGCAGAAAGGGACCAAGTAAGATTTTTTCGATTTCCGGCTATTCCGAAAGGCAGAGGGAACTTTTTAGAAGATCTTTCAATTCGAAGACGGGAAGCTTGGGTTAGAGCTTTGAAACGGGGCCCCTTGAGTGAAAGCCAACTAAAAAATGGAAGAATTTGTTCCAGACACTTCCGAACTAGTACGTAATTAGATATTTGAAAAGGCATTGTTGAATTTGGATTTGATAAGAGACATTGTTTATAGACGCACCTGCACCATTGGAGGATCGATTAAACCCAGATTGGATACCCAACCAAAATTTGGGTTATCTTGAAAATGAGCCTCAACAAGCCTCATCTTCCAGGCATAGAAAATCAATAAAAAGAGCAAAGTATAACACAGAGGTTTGTCTATTTTTATACATAAGGTGATGGATATTTATTGAATGTGATATATCAATTTCAGAGTAATGCAGATATTTTTCCTGATATCACACATGAGTCGAATGCAGTTGATGAAGATTTGCCTCAAAAGATTTCTGCTGCAGAAGTTCATGAGCATACAATGAGTGTTTCTGTGCAAACTGACTTGACTGACGAAGAAGAACAGCTATGCAGCCTATTTAGAGATCTGAATTATTCAAACACTCAAATTTATTCATTAAGATCGAAGCTCCAAAGGTTAGATTTGAATGAAGATTCTTTCAGAAATGATGATAAAAAAACTAACTATTTCACTGGATTCCCAAAGGCAGGAATGTTATTCATTGTACTGGACATAATCTCTCCACATCTCTCAACACATTTTTATACAATTCTTTCTCCATTCCAACAATTACTTCTAACACTGATGAAGCTACGATTGAATGTACCTTTTAAGTATCTGTCATACAGATTTTCAGTTTCTCCTACAACCATTTCAGATACATTCTACAAATGTATTGATGAATTGTACAATAAATTCAAAGATATTGTGTATTGGCCAGAGAGGGAGGCTTTGCGGAAAAATGTACCATCATGTTTTAAGAAATCCTTTGGCAACAATGTAGCAGTCGTGATAGATTGTTTTGAGGTTTTCACAGAAACACCTTCGAATTTATTGAATGCTGCTCGCTGCTGGTCTAATTATAAACACCATGAAACTGTAAAATTCCTCATTGGAATTACCCCTCATGGTACTATTTCTTATGTATCAGAAGCATGGTGTGGGAGGACCAGTGATAAATTTCTCACAGAAAATTGTGGATTTCTGGATTTTATTATACCAGGTGATATAATTTTAGCAGATAGAGGGTTCACAATTAAAGAATCAGTTAAAATGTTGGGAGCACGTTTGGAAATACCAGCATTTACTAAAGGTAAAAATCAGCTCCATCCAGTTGATCTTGAAAATACCCGAAATATAGCTACTGTTAGGATACATGTAGAAAGATTAATAGGTTTATTG